TGAGTGGGTGAGTGAGTGAGGGGGATCACAGGGCGGTGGGTCTGAGTGGGTGAGGGGGATCATAGGGCGGTGTGTGTGAGTGAGTGAGGGGATCACGGGGTGTTTAACTGATCTGCAGACAGTTTGAAGTCCTATGCTGTATGTCCTGGATTCAATTTACTCATTACACCAACTGGCGTTTTGCTGCATGAATGGTCCCTCTGGACAGAATGGCTATCCCTGTTGCTATCATCACTCTGTAATTGTAACTGTCTGACTGGTTGTCGCAGGAATTTATGGAGCAGTTTGCAGGAACGAGCTCGCATCCGGGGACAGAAGCTCAGTGATGCAGAAGCAGTTCACAAGTGCAGCCAGGATCTCTGTGATGCTTTGACCCATATCAAGGTTTGTGCTTTCAGCTCTCAAACTGGAAAATGCACAGGAAAATAGCAACTTACAGACACACAAATTAGGGTGTGAAGGAGCCTATTCGGCCCTTCAAGCCTGGGCTGCCAGTCAGTAAGTTCGTGGGTGATTCACCGAGTTCCAAATTCCACATTCCCATCCATCCCTGATAATCTTACATTCTTGTTAGGCAAGTTCTCAGTCTACCTCCACCTTAAAACTATTCCATCATGCTGTCTGATAAAGCAGAGGTTTTCAACATTGCGCAAGCCCCAGAGATAAATGTTTGCCTCATCTCTGTCCCAGAAGGGTGAGACCTAATTTTAAACATTGCAGCTTATTTTCTGGTCTGACCCACAAGAGGATACATCGTTTTCACATCCGTCCTATCAAGACTTTTCAAGAGTTTATACATTCCAATCCAGTCACCCCTCTCTCTAAATTCCACTGGATACAAGCCCACTCTGTCTAATCATTTCTGGTGAGGAGAATGTGTAAGTAAGGCAGCTTGTGGGAACATGGTCTTCCCTTTAGGCCTGAAGCCTATTGAGATCACTCCACAGAGGCCGGTATCCCATCACCAAGTCACCCTTTATTTACATGTGGAGAGTCCTTGACACTGATCCCTCAGAGCCAGCTCTCAGTATAAGGATGTCTGGCACTGCTGTCAGCCAGGGCTCCCTGACTGGGGCTATTAATCTGGTCCAATCAGGGAACTTGTAGTCTATGAGGTCCACTTGGCTGACCTCATTACAATCACTGCACCTATATTTCATTCTCATCCAGTCTGTATATCTCTGTGTGCTGGAATGTTGCCACAAGTCCCCTGTCATCTTGATCACAGATTCAGTGTGTGCAGGTTGGAATTACTTCTGTTGTGGCAGCTGCTGCTGTTGTTGTGTCTTGCTTATCATTCAACAAAACCACAGGATGGAATATATAACATCTAACCCAGTTTGGTGGGGACAGTGTAGAGAGAGTTTTACTCTGTATCTAAACCCGTGCTGTCCCTGTCCTGGACAATGTTTGGGCATAGTATAGAGGTGAAGTGATTTGTGTGTTGTGAAATCTGCCTCTTTACAGTTGCCTTTTGCTTCCACCACTTTAGGAGAAACTGAAAAGTTTTCCTGATGAAATTGCAAAGGACCTGCGGGGCGTTCAGGCACAACTGCGGAGACATGAGGCACTGGAACATGGGCTGTCTGGGGCTGAGCAGCAAGTAAGACCACGGATTTGTGATTCGATGTCCCATCGTTATATCAAAAGTCAAAGGAGAGCAGTGTGACTTGATGTTGATCTGTGCACCATGTAAATTTCAACCAACCAGAATTATAGGTCCCAGCTCATCCATCATTTTCCAACAAATCCAGCACTTACAATCCTCTGCCGTAATGTTCTTGTAGAATATTCTGCACAATACACTTTCTTGCTTTCCCTTTCTTCAGTAATTTTCCTGTACAATATGGTCCTCTCTCTCTGTCTTTCTCTCTGACTTTGTCTCTCTGCAGTAAGTGTTCCTGTACAATGTACTGTCTCTCTTTCTGCAGCAGTATTCCTGTGAAATATACTGTCTCTTACTCTCTCTTTCTCTCTCTCTGCAGCAGTGCTCCTGTACAAGTCACAGTCACTCTGTCTACAGTGTTTCTGCACAATGTACTGTCTCGTTCTCTCACCGTACTGTAGTGTCCCTCTACAATATATTCTGTACTGTTGTGCTTGAACTGCTTGAACCCTATACGTTTTTCTGTTTACTTTGTACGGTAGCGACAGCTTAACCTGAAAAGCTCAATTGGATCCCCTAAGCCACCACCCCAATCTCGGCAGGCTTTTGAGGACGCGAATGGCAGTTTCCATGACCCACCTGAAAAGTTCCAAACAGCTTCAGTCTCCAGCTGTGTTCAGCGATGAAGACCGGATGAAGTGCTATGAGTTGGTTAGTCTGAGGAGTGGTAGGCCCACAAGGCTTGGAGAAGACATTGTCTGCAACATGTTAACGATTGCTGTATGGGTGAGGGTGGAATGTATCGAAATGGTTGTGCCCATGCCAACATTTCTGTCTCAGGCTGCAGTGCTCCAGTGAAGCTCAATGCAAGCTGGAGGATTAATACCCTTGTTACTAACCTTCAGGTCTCTACATTCAATTTAACAACTTCAGAGCACGGACGCCTTCCTTCATATTCATCATCCACCCCCACTCCAACAGGTCCTGTCTTCTATGGTTGCACTCAGCACAGCCAATCCATTTTCAGTATTAACTACCATTTCTTAGCCGCATTCAGTCCTGACAAAGAGCCATTGGGCTTGAAACGTTAACTGTTTCTTTCTCCACAGATGCTGCTAGACTTGTTTAGTTTCTTCAGCACATCCCATTTCATTTGTTTTAAATCTCCACTGTCTGCGGTTCTTTATTTTATTATACTAGGATAAACTGGCTGTCCTTCTTAATTGAACCTCTCACTCAGTTTTAATCAGAACAAGGTTAATTTTTTTAAAAAATCCTTTCTTTTGCGGATACCTTTTCCTAAACCAAATGCATTTCTGTTCGAAAAGGAGCCAAATTGATCAGGCCTTCTTAAGAAAGGGTGATTTTTATTAGCTACCAAACATGGGAAGAGATAATAAAGCACAATGCACACACGTGTACAGATCAGAAATATGAATTTAAAATGAACAGTTAACAAGATATACGAATCCCAGTTTGGGTGCTGCAGGGAGTAGATCAACATTCCGTTGATTTGGTGCTACTGATAATGCTGATGTTGGTAGTGAAATAGTTGATTTTGAGAATCTTGGCTCTATAAGTTAGATGATGGCTTTCATCCAGTTTCCTTTTTGCAGTGACTTCACTGCCTTCCCTGGCTTCCAGCACTCAACATGAGAAAGATACTTTCTTTGCCTGCATTGCAGGGGTGTCAAATGACTATCCTCAAACTGTGACCTTCCCAGGACACCAGTTCAAACTATCACATCAGCCACCAACGCTCTCAAGCCAGAGATTGTCACTGACTTTTAACTGTTTTTTTTATACATGGAAGTCGAAAACAAGCATGCAATTTTGGACATAATTGACAGGAGATGGCTCTATAATGAAAGGGATAGTATCTACAGAAGATCACAACCTAATGTGTTTTGACTTTTATCCTTGCCTTTGAAGGGTTGCTGTTTGAAGTCCCTTTGACAGCCTTTCAGGTGTGACATTCTATGGTTTCTCTCAGGGCTTTGGCAGTTACTGAATTTATACTTGCAGTCACCTTTTGGCTATATGTCCTTTTTTTATTTTATAAATAAAGGAACACATTGTCATGCAAAGGTCAGTCAATATTATGATCCGCTGTCATGGCAGTGCTCAAAGCATGTCTCCCTCTCATTGCAGTTGCAGGCTTTGGTGGATGCAGCCGATGAAGTCCTGCACCGATGCTCTACACAGCAGAGTGCAGACCTACAGGACAAGCAGCAAGCTGTCGTGGAAAACTGGGAGACCCTGAGAGCTAAAGTGGACCAGCGGAGGGAAGACCTGGAACATGCCTGTAAAATCCAGAGGTTCCTGGCGCAGGTGAGCAGACTGGCAGGCAGGGGTCAGCATTCCACATGAAATGCCTTGCGTTGTGAAATACACAAAAAATAAAGAGAATCTCCCATTTATTTACTATCCCATCCTCAGGGCGTCCCAGAGCATTAACCTGCCAATTAACTGCCTCATTTGATGAGTTTGATGTGGTAAGCACAGCAAGGCAATTGCACACAGCAATCTGCGCAGATAGAAATATAATTGTGGCCGATCTGTATTAAATGATGTTTTTTTTCTAAAATTCACTTGCAGGACATGGGCGTTCGCTGGATGGCCAGCATTTATCGCCCATTTCTAACTGCCCTTGAACTGAGTGGCTTACTAGGGACATTTCAGAGGGCAGTTGAGAGTCAACCACATTGCTGTGGGTCTGGAGTCACATGTAGGCCAAGTGAGGATGGCAGATTTCCTTCCCTGAAGGACTTTAATGAACCAGATGTTTTTTTTTCCCTGACAATCAACAATGGTCTTCAGTAGGTTCTTAATTCCAGATATTAAAGTGAATTAAAATTCCACCAATGTGGCAGAATTCGAACCCAAGTCCCCAGAACATTAGCTGAGTTTCTGGATTAATGCACTAGCGATAATACCACTAGAAATAAGTATCGACCAGACCCAGGGAAAACTCCACTTTCTTCTGTCATTAGAAATACTGCTTTTACATTCCCCCGGAGAGAATGAGGGGTCTTGGTTTATCGAAACGCCAGCTCCTCCAACAGTGTAGTCTGGAACAAAAACAAAGTTGCTGGAAAAGCTCAGCAGGTCTGGCAGCATCTGTGAAGTTAAAAACAGAGTTAATGTTTCGTGTCCGGTGATCCTTCCCCAGAACTGAGGAAGGGTGACCGGACCCGAAGCATTAACTCTGTTTTTTCCTTCACAGACGCTGCCAGACCTGCTGAGCTTTTCCAGCAACTTTGTTTTTGTTCCTGATTTACAGCATCTGCAGTTCTTTCGGTTTTTATTAGTGTAGTCTGGATCTTGTGGCCACATCTCCAGACTATAGCTCAGACCCATAAACCTCAGACTCAGAGGGGAAAGAGCTCCCAGTGAGCTGTAGCTGACCCTGTCCTGTCGATTTGCTGGCTCCCATATGTTCCCGATTCTCCAAAACAAAAGCCAAGTACTTTGAAGGGAACAAGGCACTGAAGGCAAGGAAACCCCACAAATATAATTCATCGCTGCTTGTATTCTTTGGTGCTGTAGGCTCTGTTTCATTACAGTGGTCCCAGAGCAAGGTTCACATCATCTTCTCAGGGGCATTTAGAATGGTCAACAAGTGCCAGCCTTGCCAGTGACACCTGATTGCAAGAGTTTTTTTCGAAAGAAAGCAATGTTTTAGTATTCAGGCTGGGCCATTAACATATGTTCAAGGCCGAGATAGACAGACAGATTTTTACTCACTGAGGAAATGAAGGGCACCAGGGGAAAGGCAGCAACGCGGAGTTTAGGATTATCAGATCGGCCATGATCTCATTGAATGGCACAGTAAGACTCGACAGGCTGAATGGCCTACTTCAGTTCTTACACCTCATTGCAACAACCCTGTTCCTAACCTGCATCAGAGCAAAATATTCACAGCTCGCTGTAAAAATATGCTAATCAAAGGAGAAATGAGACAGTATACAGATGAGGAGGGGGAGGCCATTCAGCCCTTCAAGCCTGCCCTGCCATTCAGTAAGACCAGGGCTGACCTCATTATTCCCATCTCCCCCACCCCAGTAACCCTTCACTATCTTGAATATTAAAAATACCCAAAGATACTGCTTCCACCACCATTTGAGGAAGGGAGGTCCAATGTCTCCCAAACTTTCCCTGCTCCCATATTCTATATCCTGGCTAATGAAGGCAAGCATCCTGAATGCTTTCTTCACCGCTCTGTCTACCTGTGCTGACACCTTCAGGGATCTGAAGAATCTCAAAAAATTCAATTAAGTTACTCAGACAGGATCTCACTCTCTAACAAACCTGTGCTGACTATCCCTGATCAATCCTTGCCTCTCCAAGTGTTGATTAATCCTATCCCTCAGAAATTTTTCCAATAATTTCCCCACCACTGGCATCAGACTAACTGGTCTGTAGTTGTCTGGTCTATTCCTGATGCCCTTCTCGAACAAAGGAACCACATTAGCCACCCTCCAGTCACCTGACACTTCACTTGTGGCCAGTGATGTATTCGATATCCCTTGCCAGGACCCCAGTAGTCTCCTCCGTTGCCTCCCATATTGGCCTGGGAAACCAGGCCCTAAGGTTTTATGCACCCATTAAAACATCTGATACCTCGTTTTCATTAATCTTAACATGTTCTAGAACCTCGTCATCCCAATTGAAATCTCCAGCTACAGTGTCTTTCTCCTTTGTGAATATTAATTTAAGACCTCTGCCATGTCCTCCAGCTCCACACTCCACGTTGCCCCTTTTGTCTCTAATAGGCCCCAGTCCTTCCCTGGTAATCCTAATTCTAGATTCTCCCACACAAGAGGAGATATCTTCCCTGAGGTCCATCTTGTCAAGTCCCCTCAGGATCTCTTGTGTCTCTCAATCAAGTCACCTCTCACTCTTCTGAACTCCAGAGGATACAGACTAACAGCTATTTCTGACAAGAAAGCCCTCCCAATCCAGGTATGTGTCTAGTGAACCTTCGAAATGAGCTGGGATTGCTGACCACGCAGCAGGGAAATTCAATAGGGATTTAATACAATTATAAAGCATTTTAAAAGACTGAGTAGCCAAATAAAAACAAGTTCAAGACAATTAGGAAAGTAACCAGAGGGGAGATGAGATTTGTTTTTTAACCCATCTGGCAGAAGCGGATTCAGTCGTGACTTTTCAAAGAGATTTGGAGATATCCATGGGGGAGATGAAGTTTGAGAGCCATGGGAATGGAGTGGGGGAGTGAGGCAGATGGAATGACTAGCTCTTTCCAAGAGGTAGCACAGTCACGAGGGGCTGAATGGCTTCGTTCTGAGCTGCTCCAATCGTATCTCCCACAGGGTGTGGCTGACCCTGGGTTCTTTCGGATTCCAGGTTGGTAATTGAGAACTGCCTGCGTGCAATCCCTCATATTTCTTCTCACATACTCGGCATCTGTGTAACCTGAATACGCAGCCCGGCACCCGTTTCGGCTCATCGGTGCTGGCAGACAGGAGCATTTGCTGGATTTTACTGTCAGCATGATTACATGGCAAAACCTGTTGTGTTCAGAATCGCATGTCCGCTGTGGCATGAGGTTTTGCAGGAAGAAAGGTTTTGGCAGTGATAAGAAGGCTCCAGGCTAGCGTCACCCCACCCCATCCCTCCACCATGCCCTGTGCACATTTTGAACTGCTGTGTCTCCTAGGCCCGGGATTACTTCTCCTGGTCAGCTGAACTGCTGAGGGAGATGAAAGTGGAGGAAGCAACGCGTGACAGTTCCATGACGGATTTAAAACGGACCCAGCACCAGCAGCTCCGAGCAGAAATTGATGCCAGAGAAGAGACCTTTGAGCAAGTGATGGCCCTGGGCCAGGAGATCCTGCGGGAATCCTTCCCATCACAAGACGTGAGCCCTGGCTGCCTACATTCGTTCTCCTGCTTGGTGCCTTACTTGTTTCCTTTTGATTCTCTCCCTTATTTTCTCATTCTTCCCCCGATCTCTCTGCTTTCTCCTCCCTCTTTCTGTTCATCTCTCTTTATCTTTCCATCACTGGCCCCACTTCTTCCTCACCATCTTCCTGCCACCTTCTTTGAAACCACTTGCATTCCATTCTCCCTCTCCCTCTCTCACATTCTTCTCTCCCTCTCTCACATTCTTCTCTCCCTCTCTCACATTCTTCTCTCCCTCTCTCACATTCTTCTCTCCCTCTCTCACATTCTTCTCTCCCTCTCTCACATTCCCCTCCCCCTCTCTCATATTCCCCTCCCCCTCTCTCACATCCCCTTCTGTCTCTCGCTGCTCTCCCCATCTCTGTCCCTCCCTCTTTCTCCTCTCCCCCAACCCCCCTCTCTGCTCCCCCTGTCCATCCCCCACTCTCTCCCCACCCCTCCCCTGCACCTCTCTCCCCACTCCTATCCCCCCTCCCTCACCTCTCTCTCAACCCCTCTCTCTTCCCCCTATCTCTCTTCCGTCTCCCCGCTTCTTTCCCCCATACCCTCTCTTCTCCCCCCACCTTTCTTCCACCCTTACTTTCCCTCCCTCCTCTCTCCACCCTCCTTCTCTCACCCACACCCTCTCACTTCCCCCTTCTGTCCCCCACACCCTCTTTCTCCCCCCTCTGTCTCCCCTTTCTTCCCACCCCCAACCTCCTGACCCCCTTTCTCCACCCCTCTCTCTCGTCCCCCCCTTCTCTCTCCCCCTCTGACTGTGTCCACTACTCTGATGTGAATTCTCCGTTCTCCAGGTTCGAGATAAGGTCCGTGCTCTGCACGATGAGAAATCAGGCTTGTACCATCAGTGGGAGTTGAAGAGGAGCTGGTTGGAGAAGATGTTACTGCAGCAGATCTTCTACAGGGACATCAGCCAAATGGAAAAGATCATGAATTCTCAGGAGGTGAGTGTGTTGGAGATGTGGTGCAGCAGGAGATACAGGAGCTGGGTCTGTATCCTAAACAACTAGGGGCCCAGTCCAATGTTAAGATTGTAAAGGTCTGCACCCCAACCCCAAGGTGACCCCCTCCCAAAATTAATGCAAGCTGACTGTGGGTAGATGGGGGCTGGGAGGGCCAATGGGCAGGTGTATGTAGGAACCCCTTACTCCCTGAGCATAGCTGACTCAATTATATATCAGAATGGGACTGCCTGTCTCAGAATCAACACCGTTGTCAATTTAACCCGAACAAAATACAGAGCGTGGGAGCCATGTAAAACATGGGAGTTGAAGAGAAGGGGATCTAACTGCTTCACCCTCCCATTCACACTCCGTGGTCAGATCGCACTTTTCCAAGGGCATTTAGGGATGGGCAATAAATGTGGGCCTAGAGAACGAGGCCAAGCTCCCATGAAGGACAGCTGAAAACCAGCCCATCTGCTGTGCCTTTGGATCTCCCACACAGACTTGGCCACGCCTCTAATCTATACCCCCAACACCATTGCCATCATCATCACCATCATCTCCACCATTACTGACAGCATCACCATGACATCCACCATCACCAACACAATCTCCACCACCATCGTTACCACTACCAACACAATCTCCACCACCATTGTTACCACCACCACCAACACAATCTCCACCATTATTGACCACCAGGGGCAGCAGGCGGTGAAGAAGGCAAATGGTATGTTGGCCTTTGAAGTGAGAAGGTACAAGTTGAGGGGAAGAATCGCCTTGCTGCAATTGTACAGTGTATTGATGCGACCAAACCTGGAGTACTGTGTGCAGTTTTGGTCTCCTTATCCAAGGACTAATGTCCTGGCTATGGAGGGAGTTCAATAAAGGTGTGCCAGACTGATTCCTGGGCTGGCAGGTCTGATGTATGAAGAGAGACTGGAACAGTTAGGACTATGTTCACCGATGTTTAGATGAATGAAGGGTGATCTCATGGAAACCTGATGAGACAGGAGAAATGCAGAAAGGATGTTCCTGATGACCGGGGAGTGCAGAACCCAGGGGTCAGAACTGAAATAAGAAGGAATTTCTTCTCCCAAAGAGTGGTGAGCCTGTGGAATTCTCTGCCACAGAAAGCAGCGAGGCCATAAACTGAAAGTTTTCAGGAAGGGTTTAGACATAGTTCCTAGGGCTAAAGGGATCAAAGAGAAAGCAGGAGCAGGTACTAAGTTGGATGGATCAGCCATGATAATGTTGAATAATGGAGCAGGCTCAAAGAGCTGAATAGCCTACTCTTGCTCGAATTTTCTGTTGCTGTATTACAGCTCTGGGTCTGAGTGAATGTGTGTGACTGTGTGTGTGTTTGAGTGAGTGAGTGAAAACAGTCTCTCATGTGCTGTATTGCAGGTTCCTTTCACTGCTGACAGGTTGGGCTACTTGACATGCCTTGTGCAGTGCGTAAAGTCACCGGTTCTGCTCTGGAAAGCTGGATAGGCTGCTGCTCACTTTCTTGTGAACAAATGGGCAATATGCAGCCCGCGTTGTTTTTGTCGTGCTGCAGACTTGGCTGCAGCAGTTTGAAGGATTTGAAACCCGAGTGAAAAAGAATCTTTGACGAGCTGTTGATCCCTTGGTAAATAAAGCTTAGGCAAGCTGCTGAGGTATCCGTGGCCGGGGTCTCGTCCGATCAACCTCCCACACGAAAGAGGAGGACCAGGGTGGTTGGGGGGGGAGGGGGTGACCATTTCCAATGGACTGAACAGCCACTTCCACAGCTCTCTCACACACACACACAGCCACCTCTCAGACAGTGCTGCTGAGTGGTGACAATTTGCCGGCTACACCAGGAGGTCAGAACCAGTGTGAGTTTCAGGAAAGGAGACCACACAGCCTGCAAGACATTTTGTGAGAGAGAGTGTGTGAGAGTGAGTGTGTGTGTGTATGAAAGTGAGCGAGTGTGAGTGTGTGTGTG